AGTGGAGGCCCCATCCCTGGAAACATTCAAGGACAGGTTGGACGGGGCTCTGAGCAACCTGATCTAGTTAGCAGTGTCCCTGCTCCTGCAGGGGGGTTGGACTAGATGACCTCTAGGGGTCCCTTCCAACCCAAAACATTCTGTGATTCTATGATTCTATGATCACTGATAGGCAGGATATCTCACTTGGAATGGTGATATGTGTGGAGTGGGCAAACTGATTATATCCTCTGAGGTGGAGGAGGATTACTAAGGGAATGAGCAGATCATTAAAAGGTCCAAGGTATCTGTAGATCTTCTGCTCTGCCCTTATCTTTGAATGACAAAGAATACAGGTCATGTATGGAGGCAGCTTGTGAGGAGGGTGCTATATGGCAGAAAGCGGGAGGAGCTTTCTCTTGAGTAGTTTCTGATGTCCTGTACTCGTCTGTCAATGACCACATCTGGTACCAAAGACCAGGAGTCGCCTTATACAGAACATGAGTGTTTGTCCCTGCAGTCACTGTGGAGGAACTGGGAAAAAGAAACCTGCATCACCTGCAATGCTGTCACAAGCCACTAAAACTAACAAAATTTTTACACGTAGGGAGAGGTGGTGATTTGAAATAAAAGTGCTGAATACCAAAACTGTCGTTTGTATTCATTGCAGCATGTGAGGTCCCTGTAGAGAGCCAACAGTGCATTAGAGGTCGAATTTGTTAAGGTACACAGGACACAGGGTTAAGGGTTATCTGACAACACAAAACACAGAAAATAATTGTGCCGTGCAAACTCTCCAGGGGCACATGATGCAGGACCATCTAAAGGTGTATTTCTGGACAAGCAACAGGAATCAACTCAGGAGCTGGTTGCAAGTGAACTGATGGGTGGAGAGAGAGCCCACATGGTGCTCTGTTGCGTTGTCAGTCTGGGGTCCATGGCACATAAAGTATGGGAATAAGGAGAGGAGGGAAGGAATTGGCAGAAGAGCAGAGCATTTTATATGACCTCATCTACAAAGTAAGGTTAACTACAACTAATGAGAAAGGAAATACAGGGAATCATCTTTCTTGATCAGGTCAAGTGCTTTTACTGAGGCTGTTTACTGTACTATATATAGAATACAGAATTGTATAACAGATTTTTGATTTATTGGAACGAAAAGCTCCAGACACCTGTGCCAAAATCACATTCTTTTGCTGAATATCAAGGGAATTTTTGTTGGAGGCCTGGAAGATAGAATTTGAGCTAAGATGCGCTTTGTAGAGGAATTTTATTTTCACTGTTGGCTTGAATTGAGACTATTGTGTAAGAGCAGGATACTGTATGATATAATTTGAGCACCCAAATTTCCTACTGTGAGTTTACCAGAATGTGATAAATAAATAGCCAGAAATGGTATGTTATCCCTATAATTCCTGTTTTATACTACTAATATTTTTTAATCCTCTTTTATAGCCTGCTGCAGTCAAGAGCATTCTAGATAATAAATTTATTATTGCTTTCCTCCTAGCAAGGAAGAAAGGTTACTAGGAAGGGTCTGCTGCTCCTCTTTCTCATTTCAGTACCAATTAGAGTAGGGTTGGGAGCTGCATGAGTGGCAGAGTGCTCTGACTGTGGAATGTCACCAGTATGAGAGACGAAGATTTACTGTTTCCATCGCTAAAGTGATACGGAGAGTCCTGGTCATGTTCAGTCACTTCTGACACTTTTTTCCTGTTGTGTCAGCAGTACAGAACAGTATAAAAGCCGTACATGTGCCACAACAAAACACCATTATTTAGAAATGACAGTTTATGAACCTGTAATAACTGAATTTAGTGTTGCTTTAGCACCGTGGTTCAGCCTTAGCAATTAATACTGCCTGATACACTTAACCGTATTTCTTCTGTGAGAAGTGCTTCAGAGTTGTATTGCTTTGATGGATGTGTATTCTAGTTCTTGGGAACTTCACTGAACAAGCAATGCTAACTTAGGCTTGTCTGGACAAGCCACAAATAATTTAACAATCCATAATCCAAGACCTATAAGTCATAGTTTGAAAAATGATAGTTTGATAAGCTTTTTGCTATTTTTAATGTCCTGCTTTGCAGCTTCAGAAACTTCTTACTATGGACCCTACAAAGAGAATTACCTCAGAGCAGGCTTTGCAGGACCCCTACTTTCAAGAGGATCCTCTGCCTACATCAGAGTATGTATTCTCTCTTCTGTGCTCTTCAGGAGTGTTGTCTTTCTGCTAAATGCTAATCCCTGCAATGAGATGGCAGCTGAAAAATTCGTGGATATCTACCTATATCCACAAGTAGCAGCAGCTCAGGCATGCTCAGTAGAAACTATTAGCGTAGTACTGGAGTGTCTGTATCCAGGGGCGCCAGAACTGAGTGGCCATGGACAATAACCCAGTACCACACTAGTGTTGTAACTCTGAACGTCCTACCAAAGCTGGTGTGACAATATTATTGCAGTATTTAGAGAATTAATCTGTGTCCCATCCTGTTGCGCCTTACACAGCCTCACAGAGCCCTGTTCTCCATCGCCTGGCTTCATTGTGCCTCTCCCTAGGACTAGGACAGTTCTCTGACCTACAGCCCCTTCCCATGCCCTCTTGCATGGGGTAGCAGTATGAGGAGAGAAAAGTGAAGAGATCAATGACTGCCTAAAATCCCCAGGTCCCTTGTTCAGAAGACTTGAGAGTACAGATTTTATATCTCTGTATTTTATTGTAATGATAAATTCAAATGATATATTCAGTTCCTACTGGTAGACTTTCCTCTTCCAGTTTCTCTTCCCGGTTTTAGAAGTGTAGTGGTTTGGTGTGTTATGATCCATAGGAGCTGGATGCAGGGAGACTTCCACCTTTGCTTCCACTGCTTCCTCAGCTAGCAGGCAACACTAAAGGGAGTGAACAGCCACTGGAGTGCAAAAGGAGTCTAGTCGAGACTAGTTGGGGTTTTTTTTTCTTTCTTTTTATGTTTGGATAAGCCAAACACTACATAGCAGCTGGGTTAGCAGCTGTTTACACACTTTAAAAAATCATGTCATATTGATTGTATTCTGAATGGTGGCACAGAAGTCTTAAGAAATTGATACTGGTCAAGATCTAACAGTAATGTTCTATTTAGTGTTTATTTGATACTATCCTGTGTCGAGCTATAGCTCCCCATGGATTACAGGATAACATTATGATAAAGTCTCTGTCATAAACATTAAGGAATGTTCCAAATCCCATTAGCCATATGAATTTAAAAGCTATCTGTTTTTCTCAAAACAAGGCCTGAGAAGCTAATTGAAAGTAACTCTGTAGTTGTGATTGGCAGATATATTTAAGCCTTCTGTATAAGCCAAGGCAGGCTCCTACGACATTAATGCTCTTTGGATTGGACCCTTTATTCAGCGAGCCCTGTGTGTTCCAACTAGGTGTTGTGGAACCTCTGACACTCTGTTTGTTCATTTTGCCATCTGGATCAACAAGTGGTGGTTCTGGCATTCAGGCGTGCTCAACCATGCCGTGATTTCTAAATGGTGGCCTCATGCCAATAGCAAATATATCTGACGTTATGATCAACACCTAGCTGCTGGTATCTCCTGCTATCTTGGGTGCTCACAGTGCCACTCACTTATGGAAACAGGACGCATGAAAGACAAGAAATGAAATTGTGTTATATTCACTTGTTTTTTAATATAGTATTAAGTAAAGGTATGTCATACGTACATATTTGTGGAGTGTTTACTGTTTACTGTGTTTCAGTGTATTTGCTGGCTGCCAGATTCCATATCCTAAAAGAGAATTCCTCAATGAAGATGAACCTGAAGAGAAAGGAGATAAGGTATAATAAACTTTTTTTTTTTCTTTTAAGTATGCAATAAGAGAGAGTCATGGTGCTACCAAATGAAAACTAATGAAACTTCATGAGTTAACCAAAAATGTGTTTTCCGGGTAAGGCTCTCTTAAAACTGCTTCCCAGACAGATTAAAAGTATCAGATGACTTTGGGGTGTCTTAGGTGGTATCACCAGCACAGTTGCCCTGACCTGTGGGGAATGAGCTGGATGGGTGGTTCCATCAGCAGTAGCCTGCTTTCAGCTGCCATCATTCCAAGAGGACCTTGCTACCTCCTCCTGCATCGCATGATGAAAATACATTGTGATCACATGAAAAGAATGGCATTTCTATTGTATGACTGGCATACATCCAGCCATTTGAAAGTGGATGGCTGTCAGGGTCTCAAATAAATAGTGGCAGCCTGCTTCTGGCACTACATCAGAACATTTCATCCATCGGCACATGGCTTCCTGATCATGTTCTAAGGGCCCTCAGACAAAGGGATAATAAGGAGCATGAACTGTTCTGGTAGCAGCAATCTGCTCTGAATACTCGCTTTCCCGTAGCCCCATGGGCATGGGCAAGAACTTGTTTGTGTGCATAGTAAATTGTGGTGTGTTTGCACCATAATCTGACCTGCTTTGTGAACGGAGCTCGGCTGTGCTACGTGACCGCAGTGATTGTCCCATCATGCTGTGAAGGCCAGACAATGGTGGTTCAGTGTGTGGAACAGCTTGTTCTTTTCGCTTAAGAGTGTACAGTGAGACACCAACAGTAATGCATAGCTAGAAAAATGTGAAGAAAACAGCCTTAAACTGTAATTGTCTGAGGCCTACGTGAGAAGGACTGTTAATCTTTTGGAGAAACCGTTTGGCTGCGTGCATCTTCTGTTTTCAGATTTTCTGCGTAACATGAAGAACTAGCTGAGTTTAAAAGTATGCCTATCACAATTCAGACAGCAAAGCTTGGTTTAGGAACAAATATTACAGATCCTTCTTTACTGAGAACAAGTGGTAGCATCCTGGATTTTTGTGTCCAGATAGTTTTTTCAAAAAGAGGGAACAGACACCTAAGCAAAACTACAGTGAAAGTCACGATACTGATTTGATTGTAATTTAGTTACTAGCTTCGCTTCAACTCTCACAGCTTCAAAAGTGAGAACAAACCTTATGTATTAAAATGACTCTGGCTTTTCTTAAGTCAGTGTATTTAAAAGTAAATATCTGGCTTTTTCTTGGGAGCGTTGCGGGGGGCGCTAAACAATGGCATGTTTATATTCAAAACAGCCTTTATATAAATGGTCTTTGAGAATGTTGGGGACAATCGCGTATTTATGCACACTTCCAAATTAAACTTTTTTTCAGACCGTTTAGGTAATACAAGTCATGCATTACTCATTGAATGTGTTCCCACAGTGTAGAAAATGTGAAGGTAAAGGATATTCTGAAAATTGGATCTGTGCCATGATTTGTTTCTTTGTGATGTTGCAAGTGAAAGGATTTTTTTTTTTTTTTAAGTGTTAGTTTCTGGTTTGTTTTTAAAACCATAAATATCTGTATAGTCCTTTGGAAACCTGGAGTCTTCTGTGTTTGTTTATTTGGAACTTGCCTCTGAATTGAATAACCTTTAACATAAGCATCCATTCTTCAAAAAGGTTAATTGTTAGCAAAGCTAAAATGAATGTTTGTAAAAGAAAGTGAAAAGATTATTTTCTCGTTCAAATTCTGTTAGGCAAGTTTCTGCTGGGTTCATTTCTAGGTAGGACCAGAACGTCGTTTCGGTAATTCGTGCCTGAGAGGTGACATGTTGTAGTATGTTGCTAACTGTAGACCTTTTACAAGTTTATTCATTTAGAAGCCACCATGAACTAGACTGACCTGAGGATAATGTTCTTGCTGGCGTAAACTGTTTCTGTGTGCTAAGGTGGTGTAGCTAGACCCCAGCCTGAGCCTGACAGAGTAGATCTCGGTCTCTACCCAGGCAGTAGCAGCAGTAGCTGCACTGAAGAGCAAGCTCAGACTAGTCAGGTAAATTTTGTGCTAATATCCAAAGAGTGAAACATGGGACCTATGGCAAACTGTTGTCTTTAATTGTGAGAATTCCTGCAATATTTGTTTACATATCACAAAACTGCAGTTTTTCAGCTCTTGCAGTAGCAACCACCTGACTTGCATCCAAACACCCCTATGAAAACACAAATTTCGGAATTCTAGCACAAATACCACCTTAGTTATTGGTGTTTGTTTGTATAAGTGAAGCTCAAACCATTATGAAAAGACAAACTGCTTCTTAACATTTATTTTTTTTACAAGCTAGCTTGATTAACTTTTAAAACTATTGAAGTTTAAATCTCCTGGGAAACAGAATCTGACTGAAATGGGATTCGAGGACTACAAGCAGGAGGATACATGATTAGGTTTGCTAAATTTGAAATGGAAATGCAAGCCACCTCTAAGTCCTTGAAGACCTTGCAAGGCCTCTCTGTAATCTTAAATTAATACATCATTGCAAATTTCATCTAAATGTGTCTTGGGAGACCATTGTGATGAATGGCAAAATGTCATTTGTCTGAGGTAACTAAATGCCTTCTGGTGATTGGGGGCATCAGGAATTTTGTGCTAGTGGCAACTGGTTGTCATGATTTCTGAGAATCTAGTAAAGTGAGGTTTTTATAAAAGGCTGCCATACTAAAGCTTTGATAATTATATAAGCAGATATTTTAGGCAAAAAAGACTATCCCTGAATGTTCCATATAGTATATTGAGGGGGAGAGTAGTAAGGCTTTTTAATTCAAGCCATGGTAACTGTAGGTTTTTTCCGTGATGAAAAAGTGGCATATCTCACATTTAGAGCAAAATTGGTTTTCTTTGCAATTCCTTTATGTGCTGCAGTGCTCTGGTGGAGGAGCCATCCCTGGTGCTTGAAAGCAGACAAATGGGTGGTCTTTCCTTGTACCTGTCTAACCATGGAGGGCAGAGCTGCTGGTTTTCTGACCTTCCCTCCAGTTCCCTAATAGTCTTTTTAAGAGTCTGTAGCCCTCTGAAGCTAGAAAAGTACAATGTCTTTTGCTCTTGTGTTCCCCTTCTTTCCCCCCCCACCCTTTTCTGGCACTTTTCTCTTTGTCTCTCTTCCTGCTAGGTCCCAGTGTCATCTTAATTGTCTGGCTTCTCTCCTTTGCTAGTCTTCTTCCCTTGCCAGATTATTCCTTCAGCTGTTTCCTCCTCTTTTGTCTCCAACCATTTGTCTCTGGTCAATTTTCACTTTTCTGCTATTTCAATGAGATATTCTGACCCTATACCTGGTGCACCATGCTGGACCCTATTCCCAGTATACCGCTCTTTACAAGGTATTTAAAAGTGTAGGAGAGCAAAACAGTAACAAAACCCATTTCTGGTTCTGCCACAGAATTTCTTTGCAACCTGGAAGAAATTACATCATTTCTCTGGTCTCAATTTGCTTACCTTTCTGGCACTAATGCTGCCAGCCTCCTTCGGGTTATTTTAACATGTCACTTGTGAACGTTTGAAAATTGGTTTTGATTCTGAGTGAACAAGGCTGTTGAAGCACTTAAAATAAATGACTGTGGTTCACCACATCTGCCACTGAACGCTAGTGAAATATGGGGGGGTTGGGTTCAGTTCATTAGGCGATTACTGCTTCATAAATGGTTCCTTCCATCCTCCTCTGTGAGCGCTTGGCTAGCTGTAGGAGGCACTAGACTGTCCTTCCAGTTTTAGTCTAGCTTGCTTTGTTTAAAAAAAACCCAAACGGGAGACCTCCACAAAACGTGCAAGAGTGAACCGAGGACGCATTTCACCTGAGACGCCGCCTTGCTGCTTTCTCCCATCGAGCGGGCAGGCCCCCCTCCTTCCCCACAGGCACGGCGGCGCCAGGGTCGGCAACTCCGTAAAGCTCACAAGCTAGTTCAGAGCAAGTGACCGCGTTGTGTCGCTTCTTCCCCTAGAATCAGCAGCAGAAGAAACAACATCAGCAGCAAACAGCCCCTCAGCAGCAGCCGCAGGCAGCGCCGCAGCAGAACAGCACCCAGACCAACGGGACGGCCGGGGGCGCTGGTGCGGGCGCAGGGGGCGCGGGCACAGGGCTCCAGCACAGCCAGGATTCCAGCCTCAACCAGGTGCCTCCGAACAAGAAACCACGCATAGGGCCTTCAGGCGCTAACTCAGGCGGGCCTGTCATGCCTTCAGATTATCAGGTACCTCTTCAATTTTTGCTGCTTGTGATACTGTAGGGCCAAAATGTCATTCTCCCCCTTCCCCGCTGCAAGAACAGATCATGTTTTAATGAATTTCTCATGTAACCTGAGCAGGCATGCTATGATATATTAGATAAAAATGTGGGTTTAAAGGTTTAAAGTAAAAAGCTTTTGTTCTGTGGTTAGTAATTTTCAACAGAATACCGGTAAGAGTTGTATCTGCTGCACCCTGTAAAGTGTTGAGGACTATTCCAGGAAAGCACTTAAATATATGCTTAACTTTATGTTTAACAGTAATCTTGCTGAAGCCAGTGGAACTATTGCATGCACATAAATACTACATTAGACCAAGACCAGGATACTTGGCTCTTGGCAATATTAAATCCTGTGTGAGAAGCAGATCTGAGGACATCCTGAGAAGCAGAAGCAAAGCTAGAACCAGGCACTCTCATTTGATTCCTGCTTCATTTTACCTCATATCATCACATGTATGGAGTGGTTCTGTAGTTTATTCTGGTATATTGCTAAATCTACTTCTAATGGTAAAGAAAAAATGCGTGTTAGGACAGGAATGATGTTTTTGGTTCATCAGGATGATTCATGCTGAAGTAGGGCACAAAGACACGCATTGTTTCTAATGTGTCCAAAGTTGAATAGATTTAATGTTTTCCAATACAGTAGCATTCATAAGTAAAAGCAGTATCACTGAATTATTTTTGGGTTTGCATACTTATCTTCACTTAGTAGCATTATATTTTTCCACTGAAAAAGTGACTTACACTAAATACAGAAAGTATTGAACTTACCAGGATCTTCAGTACTTGTGAGTTTATACCTGCTGCAACAGTAATGAGTTGTAAAGTAGAATAAGAAAAAGGCAGATGTTTTAAAAGATGTTACAGATTCTGTCTGCAACTAGCCTTCAAGAGGATCCCACCTTGGAGAATGGCCTTCTCAGGCTGCTTTAAACTTAAGTACCTTTTAAAAAACCCAGCTCTGGAATTGCCTTGATGTAGCTCTCCAGACCTTCTCCACAGACAATTGATTTCTCCGTGCCAGACATTTTTCTCCCATTTCTGTTTTGCTCTTTTAATTACAAATTATCATGAAGGCATTGAGGGCAATTCAAGGGTAAAGACAACTAGGTTTCTTTTTTGAAAAGTTCCAGACAGGCTTGAGGTCTGGACAGATCACTACGGCTGTCTGACTACGCAGTATTTATGGCTGGCCTGTTTTGGTCTGTATTTTGAGGACTGGTGTGCTGCATTTGATGATATCCATTATAGAATCCGTATACAGCTCTCTGAATTATTGGCAAAGTTATGAGTTGTTAGTCTAAATATCTTTTTTTCAGATAGTTACTTTTTTTTTTTACCCCCTATGACACTTTCCGTCTAAACTTTAACAGCACAGGCATCAAAATGATGATCTGTATGTTTCTTTTACGTCACTTGCTAAATTATATGGTCTGACTATCCATTTTTACACTTGCGTTTGGTTATCTGCCCTTAAATTCTAGCTGGCTGTCTTCTGTTCCAGAAAGGAATGTCTGCAATTTGTCTAAGTCTAACTTCGTTAAAAACAAATTCTCTTCTGTGGAACAAAAATAAGCATGGGCAAGTTAATGCATTCTTGTAGTCTTATGGCATTAATTTTGTTCCGTTATATCTTACTCAGAAGTAGGGATAGGATTCCCTTTGCTTTGAGTTTCATTTAGCTTTTGATCTGAAGTCTCCGTTGAAATTTTTTTCTAGTTCACCAACCTCAATATATGTTGCCTCCACAAATGACAGTGTGAATTCCTTGTTGAATTTTACTGAGCATTCCCGATGTGACCTTGGGTGTTTTGCTTAGCATGGTGAGCTGATGCTTTTCATCCAGAACAAGTTCCTATAAAGTCATACCATTTGTCACAATACTTTTTCTGTTCTGTTAGAAGTTGCAAAAGCTTTCAGAATTTCGAGATAAATTCCAGGTTTAGGACACTCTGTTGACAATCTAACCATGCAGGCCAAGCATAATCTGGTTATTAACAGCATACGTGCCGCTGGGAGACATCTCTTCCAAAGGCAGTGTGCTGAGCTGTTATCTCCCAAACTGACCCTTACAAACAAGTGAAGTTACTCCATACAACTGTTAGTTATATTGATATTATATTGAGATATGGGGGTCTGCAAGATTGGACTGTTATCTCTGTCTTTAGCCTCGCTGTCCTTCACTTTGAAAGCAACCTTCAAATTCCTACATTAGACAGAACACAGAAAAAGTAATGTGGTATTTTTAGGGTTTAGTATGGTTTACAATTTATGTAAAATTAAAGGTATAAAGCTATGTACAGAAACAAAGGGCAGAAGTGGGCCTTAAATTTAGGTTCCTGCTCTTCATCATCCAGCTGAAAAGTTGTCAGGAGGCTTTCACAGCTCTCCTGGTTGGGATCCAACAGTTAGATGAGACCACAGACTGGGGTATTGCCTTCGCTGAGCAGATTCTTGGTCTGTGGAGGATGTGGTGTTCATACAAACCCACTGTCTCCAGGGGATTTCCATTCAGAACTCAAACTTCTCCAGAGGCTTTCTGTAACTCATAATCTTGATATTTAATCAGAATATAGGTTCTTAACACTTTTCCTAAACAGCCATGGTGCTTTTTCGTTTTCCTATTGGCCGCAGTCTTGCTGATGACCCTTGGACATAGCCAAGTAGAACCATCAACTAGACAGTGAACAGAACCCTACTGAATGACTGCCTGCCCCTGCACTTAACTTAGCTGGAAATGATCTGTTTGCTGACTGAAAATAGTGTGGGGGTTTTTTATAGACTCTCCTTTCTTGCGGATTGGGGCGGGGTCTGCCTTCCTCGACAGTCTCCTGTCCATTGAGCGGTACTTTTCTTGCAAAGTGAATTTGCAGCTTGCATGATTTTGCAGCTTGCATTATTAATTCTGGGCAGGGAACAGATATGGTAATAAAAGGGCAAATTCAGCAGGCTGGAGGTTGCAAATGATCCATGAATTTGGCTTGCTGAGATTGGGTTCCACCGAGCTAACATCCCAAACACTGGAGGGGAAAAAAAATCTTGAGTTAGCTATTGCACATACACATGCCCATCTTTAAGCAGTTGTCCTTGCTTCCAGTAGATAAGGCAGCAGGTTGAAAGACTCACCTGAAATTATATTATTTTATCCTACTGACCATTTTTCCATTTAGATAAATTGAGTAACTCTTAGGTCACGGTTGTCTCTTTTTCTCAGGAACAGAATAATTTGTTTCTCTGTAACATTTAGTATTACCTATTTTGAAAAGGGTGTTAGTGGCCTTAGCAGTTTGGTTTTGCATTAATAGCACTTACAGTAATGATAGACGTAAGCTTAAGAAACAGCTGAATTTTTAAATGGACTCTGCTCTCTCTTGTGTCTTGTGCATTTTTCCTTCAGAAAATGAGTGTGTACATGCTGTACTCCTAGGTGTCTGCCAGTGACCTTGTGTATTTTGTGTGCTGTGTTAAGACTGATTGCAGATCAGATTGATTACTTCTTTTATGGGACCTTAAACAGTAAGACTGTTTAGTCAGCTTCACCAACAGTCACATTTTAATGGACGCTAAAGGAGAGGTTAAAAGTTTCCAGAGCTGCATAGTCCTAACAGGCTGGTTTTCGTTCCCCTGATCCCACTCTCTTTTCCTGCAGCACTCCAGCTCACGCCTGAGTTACCAAAGCAACATTCAGGGATCTTCTCAGTCCCAGAGTACAATGGGCTATTCCACGTCATCTCAGCAGAGCTCCCAGTATCACCAATCTCATCAGTCTCACAGGTACTGAGAGGGCTAACAGACTGCACTCAGAAAGGAACGGACTAAAAGCCAGAAGACTCCAGCAATATGAAGTTCATAATGATGAGAAGAACCAAAAAATACAAACGATGATGCAGAATTAAAATTCATGATGACAAAAGGAAAACTTCACTCACTGAAGACTTTCCCCCTCTCCTTCCCCCCTGCCCCCCACCCCACCCCCCCGGCCCCCAATCCCTTTATTGCCATAAAGGAGATTTTCGTGAAGTTTTCCTTCCTCCCTGCCCTTGCATGTGCTCCGTTGTGGTTACTCTAATGAACCCTTCTGATCTGAACCCAGCACTTAACTTCTTTAACCTTTGGAATTTTGAAGGATTCCTGGTGCACCTTCCTTATGCTGTAGTGATTGCCATAAATCTGTCTTTTCAATCTCTTTGATGGGATTTTAAAGTTTTAAAATCTTGAACTCCCAGGCTTTCAAGCTTGTATATAGTTAGTTTTATACTAGGCAAACCAGTTTAGCTATACAGGTATATTGCACCTTTTTAAAGCACTATGTTATTTTCACAGGATATTACTGTTTTGCTCATGGATGTCAAGAACAGCAAAATTTTACTGTTCCAGAGTATTTTACTATTCTGTTTTTATTAGTCTAGTTTTCAGGCGAGGTCTTAAAAATAAAAAATTTAAAAAATAAATAAAATTTAAAAAAGAAAAAGGAAAAAAGAAAAAAACCCACCCAAGTCTCTGCAGCAACAAATATGCTTCATGCTACTGGACTGAACGCCAAACGGAAGATTGCTGATATTTCTTAACTCATTCACATTGAATTCTTGAAATCACAGTAATCATGCTCTGACTAGTTTCAAATTAAGCGTTATTTTAAATGAAACCAGGACAGTCACATAAAAAGGAGATGTTTTCAGGATCTGTTGGAACAGAAGAATGGAATGTCTTCCCAGGCTGGACACCAAAATAGTCAGGAAAATGTATTTACTGCCCTCAAGTCTCAGTGGGAATGTGGATGATGGGCTTCTTTTTCTGTTAAGCAGCTGATTAATGTATGTGAGTGGTCTATAAATTTAGCTTTCTTTCACATTCCTGAGTCAGTTTTCTAAATGTAAAGGTGACAGAAATACTAAGACTTGCAAAAAGCAAATGCATTTAATCATTTTATGTTAGAATTAATAATTAAGAGAAATTATTGCGCAGTTGGAAAAGCATGTTGAAAATTGTTCCTTTTTCATGTTTATAATGCATATTCTGTGTCCCTCACATTGCTGTGATTAACCCAGATTAGTTACACCAGATGCGCTTGATTGCACTGGAATGTTTCTTTTTCCCTAGAGCAAACATGTTTTGATTGTGCCTAAGGACTGTAAGTGGATGGGTAGCTGGCAGAAAATCCCCAGTAAATAAGAGTTCAGAAGCATAATCAGAGGATTATTGTCCAACTTCTGCAACCACAGTTATTCGGAGAGACACAACATGTAATTTGGGACAGCTTCGCTTTTCCTTCAGAAATAAGGCTGGCTCTTGTTGCAGAAAACCTGGAAAAATGCATTTAGAAAGCTACTAGCAATGTAACATCAGTGAGCTTCTGCAGCTGGTGTCCAGAGAAGAGGTGAAGTGAGAGGAGTTTACATGTAAACAATGTTACAGTCTCGTATACTGCCGCGTGTTCTCTTCTGCCCTGTGTCCGTGCAAAAAATTGTATATACCTGTGCACATTCACACTCAAGTTGGGATCAGACCTAGCAAGATGAGAGAGTCTGTTTGCTCTGAGGAGAATGCTGTTCATCACAGCTAGACACGTACCTATTTCTGCTGGATTTGATCTCCCAATCGCTTTTAGTGCCCCCTTCCTCCTCAGACACGTGTTGTTTTCATACCATTTGTGAGCAGTTGGCTGGCTTCGGCCCTATCTACCATCATGTGGTTTTGACAACACCCAGCTTCTGCAACTAAAACCTGCTTTTGTCATCAAATGGGTGAGAAGGTGGTGAAAACGAAATGTAGCAATTTGAAGGAAAAAATTCTTTCTGGGGAGTAATGATCTCCCAAAGGATACTTTCAATGTGTAACCCTTGAAACGCTACATATTGTGTGTACCTTAGTAGCCTGTTTGAAAGAACAGATTTTAATTGTTCCTTTATTGTATTTCAATGCGTCTGGGGTTACATTCCTTCCCGTAAGTGGAATGGCTCGCCTCTTAACTGATGTTAGGATGAGGTACCTTTGAGCTAAGGGATGTTTGGCCAATGCCATAAAGTAACATTTGTATTTTTGTGACTTGAATGTCACATTTCTGGAAATTAACCTTTGGCAGAGTCATTTTTGTCCCCTCCTTTTCACCCTTCTGTTCTCTCAAAATCCTTTTGTCTTTTCCATTATCCTTATCTAACATTTCTTCTCCCTGCTGTGACCTGCAGCTGATCATCAAAATGCATACAGCGTCAGGAGGTGGCAGGGAGACCGTACAGTTAATTAAGGTGGGCTCTTGTGCCCATAAGGCAAAATCATGGTGTAGGTTAATCTGTAGAGTGTGAAACTTCACAGCAATGTCAGGTCCTTTAATTGAGTGAGCTTCCAGCTTCTGGAGCGACTGCCACAACATCTCTCTGAGCTGAGCTGGCGTTTCTGCCTCGGTGGGGTCTGACAGACGACCACACGCCGCTCCTCTCTGGCTTTTGTGTGCACACGCGAAGCCGAGCTGACTCCCCCCGTTGCCTTCAAACTCACAACCTGGGAGGAGAGTGAATAAAAGCAAAAGCATTTGCTGCGAAGCGCAGGCTGTGCACATGCTTCTAGTTCCTTCCCGGTGGTGAAATAATTCGCCTTTTCTTGGCAGCTTGACGTGTGTCGCCAGGGAGGGCGGCAGCCGTAGTGGAAGAAGCCTTGCTTTCCAGGGGTCATCCCAGGAGGTAAAAATGCGGGAAGCCAGGACCACGTCATTGTTGTGTTTCTTTTTCCTCTGCAGTTTCATAAGTACTCATAGCTCTGTCTCTGCCCATAACCCTTACACCCTCACCAAAGTCTTTCAGACCGGTACCGAGAGAGGCAGGTGACACCACCAGAGCCATCTTCTCCATCCTGGTCGCCTGGTGGGAGGTCAGGCCGCTGAGTACAGCTTTTCCCATCATGGCTGAGAAGAAACAAACAGGTGGGGAACGAACGGGACGAGCAGCCTGGTCCGCATTGGTGAAGTTTATGTAGCACAAACTGCACAATGAAGGAAAAATATAGGGAAAGCTGCGAGTCCTGCACTGTATCTGTGACACTGTATCTGGGGAGGGGGAGGGAAGAACATTCGTAGCGGGAGGGGTGGCGGGAAGCTAGAAGTGTTCAAATATGTATAATATTTTATATAAACATAATAAGCTTAGTTCCCCTTCATAATCTTCAGGAATGGTACTTTTAACACCATTAAGCAAAGAATTGTTTTAGGGTTAAATAAATGTATTGTACATAAGGCCATACGTAATCTTCTAAAAATGTCGCCAGACAGGAGCGATGTGTATTACTATATGAAAAAAAAGTCCTTAATGCACTGTTATCTCCTAAATATTTAGTAGTAAATTAATACTATTTAATTTTTTTAAAAATTTGTCTTGTGTAGACACTAAAAAGTATTACACAAAATCTGGACAGAACATGTCCTTTTTAACAGCAATTTAAAGAACTTTTTATATATGTAAGGTAGTAACTTTTCAAACTGTTCTAGTTGTATTTTCCCATGTTTACTATTTGTGGAAGTGTGCCTGTCTGTATTCAGTTATTTTTTTTTTTCCTAATAATTTCATGCACGCATCTTTCATTTTTGTAGTTTTCATTAGAAATTGTTGTGTATGCGCCTCATCCTGCCACAAAACTTTGCCGCTCTGGATCTGTGGTGGCCACATTCGGCAGTGCCTGTGCCAATGGGCTAGCAAAACCACAAAGCAAAATACTTGTTTCTCATTCTGGAGTTGAGAGTTTACTGCTTTTAAGTTGTTCCGATGTCACTCTTGAAATGACTGTTAAAACTAAACTATGAGCTCATTGCATTTATTTTATATTCTTGGTTGTAATGAAATGGAATTGACTTTGCTTCAGTGTGAATTTTTTTAATAAAATAATATACATTTGTAATAATAATAAAAAGTTCAAATCAAATAAGCGTGCTGAAAAGTTTTTGTAAACATTGGCTTTGGGCTACCAAGAGGGAAAATATAGCCCACAAAATTGCAGTTGTAATTATATTCAGGATGTTTAAGATATCATACACCACACAAAACAAAGCTTGCGAAACCTCAGAGTTGAAATTGCAGCTTTTAAAATGCCCACGAGGATATTCATGGGTACGTGTCTATCAAAATAGAAGGAAGCCTTATGGAAAATAGAATCGATGGAGTGGTTCCCTTTGGTCTTGCCCTCTGCTTAAAAGTATTCTGGCATGCCACGCCAGTTGTTGAGATATTCATCATCGCTTGCATGACAATCCTATAGACATGTCTTCTGAAAAAAAGCTGCTGTGCTGCATTCTGAAGCTAAATGCCCTCTTACTTCTTCCTCCTGCTTGACCTTGGAGGATTTAAAGTATGTCAGGTGACAACATGGAAAGCACGAGCTAGAGCACACCGGTGGGTTTTCAAAGTGGGGTTTTGTGTGCTTTGCTAGTCTCTGTGTCTCTGTTCCGTCTGACCATTGCTTCGTGGATGGATAGTTAACCTCTTCCACAAATCCCACCTGTCTTCTGCATAAGGGTTGCACGGGTGAGAATGGTTGGGATTTTCTTGCACTACCAGTAGTGTTAACAAAGAGGCTTTGGTTTCTGATGCGCCTTTTGCACAAGGGTGAGAACAGAAGTAGCCTTTTGCCAAAAAGCTTAGTCTGCATCTCTGGTACCTCGTGGATAAAGAGCTGTTGCTTCAGCCTCAATGCAGCTGAGCATCCCCAGCTCTCCACCCCTCATGGTTTCCTTTGTGCTTCTGTTCTCCTGGTGGTTGGTGAGATTGTGCTTAGTCAGCAGCTTTGACTTGGGTGTCCTTCTTAAAGCCTCTTATGTTGGCTCTGTCCCAATCTTTATTCTTCTACAGCATCTCTCGCAGTTTTTCCTACGTGGTCATGCGGTGCACTGTCTAATCCAGCCTCATCACGCTGATCTGAATGATGGTGTCATCTCTTTTCCTGGCCTTGACAGCTAGTCAACTTAACTTTTGCAGCCACTCAGAAAGTTGCAGAGTGGGTTGTTTATCAGTCTCTTGCTGTGACTTGTTGCTTCCCGCTCTGTGTTACTGCCCTGGCTCTGCCGTCTCTGTTGCATTAGATGTAAAGCTGCTCTCTTCACCTGCACGTCATTGCCAAAGCCTGCTGTTACCCCATCCCTCTTACTGAAATCAAGAAGTTATCTCCTGATCTGATCGTCCCGCCAGGTCAACCTCTACACCCCCCATTCTAGATTTCCAAATAAGCATTTTTATGCTCTGTTTCCAATTGCCTGTTGTTCCTGAAGACCTGCTGCATAAATTTCTGAAAAATCCCCTCCTAGCTGTCTTCTGCATCCCTCATTAACACCCTTTGGCTTTGATGTCTACAGAAGCTTAATATTTTAAGCTACTGGCGTGCTACGAGTTGTACCTGTTGTGTTAATGAAAGTTGTCCCAGTGTTTCGTTACACCCTCCAGTCTATCTGCATCCATCTGTCATGTCCCTGTACACCACGTACAAGGTCCCTGGGACAGGAATGGTCGTTTTGCCCCAATACAGTAGCTTCGTGTCTGGCGATTGCAGACACTCGGTAATGCAAGAAACGATGACTGTAACGTCATGGGGTTTTTACTACTGGATGACACACAACAGTAACGTGAGGAGTAATTTCCATGTGCTCTTTGAACACAAAAAGTAGCGTATTGGCACCAAGTATCAATTTCATTGGGCTAAGCACGGAACTTGAGCAAGCAGTGTTCCAATAGCCAGCAAAAGTTAACGATGGTTTACCTGCAGTGTTTTATTAACAGGTAGGTGCTGCTTTTTTACGTTCCAGAGAAGTTTGTGCCCTTGTTCAAGATCGCAGAAAACCCAGATGCTTTGGTTTATTTTGATGTTTTTATAGTAACGTAGAAAAATATTATTGCATGATTACCACGATTTTTTTTTTCATTTGCAAGAAATATGTGTTAGAACAATAGTTGTTTGAGGTAGATTAAAACCACCAAGGGGGTTATGAAAGATGTGTGTACAGTCATAGCGGAGCTGCTGAAATTGCTGTGGGAGTACCACAGCTGTTATGTAACAGATTTCCAAGATAATCTGGAGTAGGTGTTTAGAAAAAATAATGATTATTGTTATTTGAAGTCTGAAAGCAATGCCAACCTACCTAATAATTTTTATATAATGTACTTGCCTTGGAATACTGCTATAGGATCAGCTTTTCCAGCTTTGTATACTACGGCATACTGCTAAGTGTATTGTATGGAGTGTACTGGGCCATTCCTGTGATAATTTTGTAGTGTGTTCTTCGAAGTATCTTGACGAGGACAGAGAACTTGAGAGTCTGTAACTTTTACATGTACGTTGCATATATTGAACACGTGGCTGAATGAAATATTCAGCAATACATTCCTTTCGCTAAAACCTCTTTTGATGATGTTTAGTTAGAAGTCACGTGAAACCTCCAACTGGTGCTTAAAGTCACTGCAGAAAGGATGCCTTTGCCCCAGCCCGTTGCCAGAATGGCGCTTTGCTTTGCTTACGCTAGCAGTAGATGTTATAAATAACTTAGTAAAGGAGAATCTGCATTATTTTTTAAATATGACTTTTAAAAATAAGGAACAAAATAATCAGCTATTTATTACTGAGTCTTGGATGTGACGTGGTAGCCAGCAATAATGCATTTTACGCAATCTCCATCCCACAAGGTTAATCATGTGTCTTAAGTAATGCAAAACCCAGTATGTGAAGCACTGAAGAAAGGAATTCTTCATACCTATCATCTGCAGATGAATTTTTAAATATAAGCCTGTGTTGGTAAGATTCTTCCCTACATCCACAAATAGGAATTCCTTGGGATGTTAGGGGGGGAAGAAAAAAAAAAAAAAAAAGGAGTGGAAGTGTGCAGCCTTTTGATTTAGTAACGAAGTTTTAATGCTATCAAGTTTAGGTGTCTGAAGTTCTCCAGAACATGATGAACTTTTAAATACATTTAAATGTTTATTTTTAACATTTACATTGTTAAAAATACTTTCTACCCTTATCTGGGCAACGTGACACAGCCCTGCTCTGGCAAGACGACCTCTTAACTCTGCATGCTTGACCTGGTCAGGGGCACGGTTGTCAATTCGGAGTCTTGCAGACAGTTTACACAAGTGGACACTGAACTTTAACCTGGAAGCTTCGGTCATGCAGGTCTATGGAAGAGCAATCAGCTTCTCAAGAAAACATCCTTCACTGGCCGAAAGGTGAGCCAGAGAACTGTAAAGTGAAAGGCTTGACATCTTACCTCAAAAGGCTCCTGTAGTCCTCCAGTTTGACAGTGCTATGAGATGGCTGTAACTTGTCAGATCGTATTGGTATTGCTAGGCTGTACAGTTCAAACCCATCTGTTGTTGGTCTTGCCATTATCTCATATGATGTAGAATGAGTAGTTTGTGAAATTACAATTAACGTTTTTCTGTTTTCAACCTATTTTAATTGTATGACTCGTTCTTGCAGTGGTACAGAAGAAAGAAGGACGGTTTCCAATGGCTGGGGTTTGGCAGTAGAACTCAGAACGTTAACTTGCTAACAAAGAGGAACCAAAGGAGATGAGGCTTCTTCCTTGCTGGTGTCCTCTTTTCGCTGCAGCAGAGGAGATTCAAGCAGGCAGATCGTATCATGGTGTCATGTAGTAACTGCAGTTCTTGGGAAACATTTGAGCTTGAAAGAGGAACATTTATCTCGTAAGTATAGCATCGCAACTGCAGAAGGTATACCTGGTGAAGTTGACAGGAGTGAGTCACCTTTACAAAATTCCCTGCACGTAGCAAGCAGACTGGCTCAATCGTGTCAAGAAGTTTATAGACTTTGTCTTACCCACCCATAAAGGCATGAAAGTCTGCATAGTTTATGGTTTCAGAATGCTCCCCCTGGTAACAATGGAGCTTTTGTTTAAATGCTTAAAAGTTTCTTGTAGCCTGCAGTATCCCACAAGCATAGAAATAAATCCCTACCCATTTAAGAAACAATGGGGACATCTACTAACGCGCCCTGGTGGGTACGTTCCAACGGGGATTATCAAGAGTCGTTTCTACATCACACTGCTGCTGGATGAAAGCTGGAAGTCCCCTGTGACTTTGAGACAGTCGGTTCTGGGAAGCTGGAATGAAGTAACTTCTGTTATCATCCAGAGCAATATTAGAGCTGTTTAAGTGTGTTTGAGTCATCAGAGATTGTGACGTGTATCGTATTTGCACCGTGGCTGTATGCTTTCATGTCCAAGAACTCAATCTCGCACGATAACATTTACGTACATCGTCTATGGAGAAATGCTCAACCGTGGCTTGATAATGTAAATCTTATAAAATACTTGTCAGTGGATCGCGTGTGCTAGAGGACGTAAGAAACGACCTGCCAGCTAGATCAGAAGCAGGCATGTTCTTTCCCACCTAACGTGCCAAACTCATATATCAGTCACAGTGTGTCATGCTTTTATTAATACAGAGTGGTTGTGCTATTCCAAGACTGCGTTATCGCTGCAGCTTCTCGTGTATCGGAGCTGAGGTAATCCATTTGTGTGCTATGTAGCTCCTTCATGATGTTCCATGTATGACTGTGGGGAGACCAGCGACTCCCTGGGTAGTCGATATGCTACCTTGAAAATGAAATCAAAAGAGCACCATAGCAGTATTCAGTCTTGCCCTCACAGGAACTGAGATTCCAGCACACGGGACATGGCATTCGTGTGGAGGGGACGGGGGAAGAAGGTGGGAAGGATCCCTACTTCTGGGGGATCAGGGATGGTCTCTGGATATGCTACATGTCGATGTCAAGACAAAACACGCTTTTGCTTTTCAGTTTCAAAACAGACAGGTGAAGTCCAGCATTATGCTCATTCAAATTACTAGGATATGTCCT